GGGCCGCGGCCCCATGGCCGAGGTGGGCGGCTTCCTGGGCGCCCTGGACCCCGACCTGCATGGCTTCCCCCCCGCGCTGGGCGCCGGGCTGCCCCTCGCCGACTCCCCCGGTTTCCTCAACGAGCGCCTGGGGCAGATCGAGGGGCGGCTGCAGCGGGGCTCCCCCACCGACTTCGCTCACCTCAAGGGCATCCTGAGGCGCCGGCAGCTCTACTGCCGCACCGGCTTCCACCTGGAGATCTTCCCCAACGGCACGGCGCACGGTACACGGCAGGACCACAGCCGCTTCGGTAAGGGGGGGCCCGGGCCGGGGTTGGGGGGAGCCCGGCCGGGCCGGGAGCAGGTGCCCCGCGTACAGAACTAATTAGCCCGCTAATATAAATCATCCCGGGACGGATATAATTAGACTCCTAAACAAATGTGCTCACTCCCTAGCAATGCGGGAGTTTTTTTATTTCCAATTTCCTACTCTCCCCAGCGCTCAGCCCTTCTGCAGGTGCACAAAAAACATCCCTTAGCGGGGGGGGAGGAAGGAAAAAAAAGAGGAAAAAAAGGTAAAAAATTACAATTTTTTAGAAAAGGGAGGGGATGATCGTCTCTAGCTGTGCCTCTGAAGTTAGCTGTGTGGGAGGCAAAATAAAGGAGACAGTATGTTGGAAAAACAAATTCCTTGCTTTTTTGTGGCTTTCCCCCTCCTTTTTTTTTGGTCTCCGCAGATACTTGTGCACTGCTTTCTTTTACTTGCATGAATTTTGTTACAAGAGCAACTCCCCAAAGCGGGAGGGAGCAGGTTGGCTGGAGGGGCGTCAGGAGCTCTGTGTGGGGAGGGGGTTGGACAGGAAAGGGGAAACCAAAGGGGGACCTCGGCAAGAAGGGAGAAGATGGAGCAGTAGGCAGAGCACCCTGGATTTACCTTGCTGCCCGGGATAATACGGCTGGGAGACGGCAGCGCCTGTATCGGTGTTGCACAAGAGCAGGGATCTCTAATGAGACTCTATGTAATCTTCAAAAAATGCATCCCAAGCCACAAGCGAAGAAGTACAGTAAGTTTGAGCACAGCTAAGAGAAATTCCCGCTACTTCGGCATCTAGCGCAGGTGTCTGTGTAAGCTATCAGCAAGTCCCATGCCAGTGATCTCTGCTATGTTGTCAACAGGTTGCAAGAAGTGCTCGCGAGACTTTTTTTATAGTTTTTCAAGCGATTTAACTCCTCAGTGGAAGGAATTTTTAAATTTTTTTTTTTCCCTTAACTTGTTTGCAACCAGTCCTTTCTGATACCGCCGGAACACCGCTGCTGCTGGTGGTGGTGGTGTAAGGCAAGTTTTTTTGGAACAATTGAAGGAGCTTATCTCTGTCCTGCACTTTCCATTAACACCAGGTGCATGCATAGCGTGTCCCTGCCTAAATCAACAAGAAAGTCATAGCCCGTGGGTCAGAGTCAGGTACTCATGGGGCTGGCATTCTTTAATTACCTCCCAAAAACCATGCATCTTCGAACCTTTCATGCTGCAATACGTGGTGGGTTTCTACGGTAAACTGAATGCAAACCCAGTGCATCTGTTTGGTTTTAGTTCAGTCTGCCACATAGTATTTCTATCAGTTCTTTTTACTTATCTTTATACAAGTAAACAGCCAGTTTCAATTGGCAGCATTTGTCTTAGTTCCATTTTTTTCCTAAAGATTGCGTAAAATAAGCGTGTTTCCAAACAAACTTTGGAAAAATATGTTAAATGGGCTAAAACTTTTCATGAATTTTGCATGCTTAAGCTTAAGTCTCACAGTGTATTCAATAAATTGAAACACTGGCATTCCCTAAGTGTTTTAGCAGTCAGCATCCAGCTACATAAACTAGACCAGACTTCAGATATAAAATATTATAGTTTTTTGCTTCAGGGTTTTCCCAGAGGCAGTGTAAAATAAATAGTTATTTGTTGTAATTGCAAGACAAAGCCCCAAAGGATTAGACTGGAATCCTCGTGTTCAGATAAAGTTGGACCAAACCTGGCTTCAGCGGAGACTCAAAGCAATAACGTATTGGCACACAGCGCTCACCATCTGCATTCAGTAGCCATGAATATTTAAATTCCAATGTTACTGGTATGGTTTGTATTAGGATATCATGTATAGATGCATTCCTAAATTTTGCATGCAGCAGTTGGAGAGTGGTAACTGATTACAGAAATAGGCAGCCGGAGCAATCCTGGGGAGCTGCAAAACTGCGGGGAGGGATACGGAGCTACACGAGGGTTTGGGGGAACATGTTGAAAGCTGCCTTAAACCTAGGGGCGTCTGGGGAAACACTTGGAAATCCAGTGTGGTGGTTGGGTGGATCAAGCCCACGTGGCTGGAAGGTGCTCCAAGATCTCCTAAGTGGACAATGGACGTGCTCTGGGGATGGCTTTTGGGGATGGTGCAACAGAGGCACGCGTCCAGCCCCGCATGGGATTTAGGGTGGATCCTGACGTTGCATCTCTGGCTCAGTGCTGGAAGGAAAAGATGGACGGTGTCACAGTAAATGTTCCCTCTCATCCGTCGAGGACTGGAACCTTCCCAAATCCCACCTGTTGTTGTTTTTTTTTATACTCGTAAAAATACAGATTTGTGCAAGAACAAGGGGGCGCAGCTTATTTTTCCTAGAGGAGGCTTAACACAAAACTTGGTGAAGCCCCCCAAGATCGTTGGAAGAAAGCTCAGTCTTGCACTAGAGAAGTACCCAAATTTGCGCTCTGAACTGGTGGCTCCGCCTAAGTCATCCCAGAGAATAAAGCGTTTTCAAGAATTTGTTTGCACTGCGTCGGCCAAGAACCTGCCTGTACGAAGACATAAAGGACGGTCAGAATCGGGAGGGGGCTTGGACTGACATTAGAGCCCCTGTGCAAATCCTTCTGAGAAGGAAACCGAGATAAATTTGCCAGGAAAATCCCTGCCAGGAGGAATTGCTCCTTTTCTGCCTCCTGCCTGTTTTATAGCAGCATCAAACAAGTGACACCAACGGTGATAACTGCAAGGAGCGACAAAGGCCTTGAGTTTGCAGCACAGACTGATAAAGGCAGCAAAGGAAGCTCTTTTGGGGTACGAACCTGCTCATGGATCTGTAACGCAGTCTCCTGCAGAAGCTGGTGAAACCTCCAGAGAAAGTTTTGTTGCAGATTTGGACATTCAGACTGAAGCACACCTGTTGCTGAACAGTTGTTGAGGTTTTTAGCTGAAGCTTTAAGTTTGTAGCCATTAATACAACACCTGATGTTTCTGTACCCCTGCTCCTTACACAGTCGTGTAAGGAGGGACAGGTGCAAGGAGCTGAATTGTTCTTTGAGGGATGGTTTTTGGTAAGGCGAGAGCGCACAGGTCCAGCCACAGCAAAGCTCAGGAGATTAGTGCTTTGGTGGTAAATGAATCCAGTCAGAGTCTTAATCAAATCTCTCCAAATATTACCTAGGAACAAATAGAATGAATAACCAAAGCAAGAAAAAAAAATGCAAGTCCTGGGGGTAAGAAGAAAAGAAAAAGGAAATAAAAAGCATGTTCTACCACAAAAACACACCACTGCAACTGGAAAGCAAATTCTTGAGCCGGCCCCAGCGGCCGCTCCCTGTGCTGCTGGAGATCAGATGTACGACACTGCAATTTTGTCGAGCAATTGGAGTGAGTTAAGGACAGGATGGATGTCTGCCCACATTTTTTTCAGCCTTCACTCTGTCTCCTGACTTTCGTGGGTTTCAGTTACGTTCTTAATGCTATTTCAACATAGTCAGCATCTGTGCACATCTCCAAGTGCCACTCGGAGATCAGGAAAGGGGAATACAGCAAGTCAGAAGAGATTGTCATGGGCACACCTTGGAGAAATGTCATTTGCAAAACCAGCAAGTGTTCACCCAGTCTGCACCAGATGAGGGATGTCTCATCCACCCGCTCACAGAGGGAAGACCCAGATGCTGCTCCTGGATTGCTCCTTACCAGGGCAGGCAGGGCGAAAGGCAGCCAAAACGTCTGCTAGGAGGCAGGAATCGCACTTCTTGCACCCAGCGTAGACTGGTGAGTCTGTGTTGAGCGAACTGGGACAGAGGTGTCCATCGCCATCTGGTCTGGCCTATATTTAGGCAGTGATGCAGTTATGTCTGCGAGTTACCGCATCCCCACCTGGCCCAGCAGAAGACACGTCCCAAGCTGCGACTGAAGTCAGCCAGCTCGCGTGGCCGCTCGTCACGCGGTGGTTTTAGACTCAAGTCGTGGTTTGAAGAGGAACGCTGGGAGGTAACCTGATCAGAGCCGCAATTGCTCTGCTTTGGGAGCTATATTAAAAGGCCTGGAGCCACACTAAAGGTTGGAGCCACTTTGTCCTCCTGTCAATGGAGATGTCTTGTCCGCTTATGCGCTAGGAGGGTGAAAACCCCCTTCAGCACTAAATTGAATTTCTACCTGCATACATTTGGTGTTGGATTTTATCCCTGCAGCTTGCACGGACATTTAGGGGCACCAGGATGAAGATGGCCCCCCCAGACATCTCTTCCAGTGCTTTTCGCTGATCTTTATTGAATGCATCACTTTAAAACACGTGGGACTGTCATCTCAAACCAGCAGCCCTGTGGTGACAGAAATCGCTCTCCTTTTGGTGAAGGATAAAACCCAGCGTGGTCACAGCCTTCTGGGATTTCTAGTGGCCAGGCACAAGTTTCTGTATCTGTCTTCTTGGTGAGAATTAGGAAAAAAACAATAAAAAACAAGAAAAAGAAAAAAACAACAAGAAGAAGAAAACCTAGCAAACTTTTTCTCAGTAACAGAGGTAATTTCTCTTGGGGAATTCAAATTCACAATGCTGGGGAGAGGTCTAAAGTGATAATGCAAAGATTTCATGCATATTGGACTACAGATTTTAAAACTCTGTCGTTATAAATAAGGAAGACAGGGTCTGCAAAGGCTGGTTCATGTTTGTCACCAGGGCCTGCTGTTGGTTTTATTCTCTGTGTGATTGGGACTTTTTTCTCTTCCAGGGATTCTGGAGTTTATCAGCCTGGCCGTGGGGCTGGTGAGCATCCGTGGGGTGGACTCAGGACTCTACCTCGGCATGAACGAGAGAGGCGAACTCTACGGGTCGGTGAGTGATGGTTTTGTGCAGGTTTACGTTTATGTCACAACTCTTTAACTAACGGAAGCTGCAGTTGTTGTCTGTGTTAATTTATTATAACGTTCTCCACAACTCCATTTAGGGAGGTTGCTTGTCATTTTCTAGAAGACCCCTTTTCAGCCTAAAATTTTCCATGTTTTACCAAAGTCACCTGCACGTGATTTTTTTAAAAATGCCTCTTCCTTGATCACAGCACTACCCTGTGTGAGGACATTGATTTTTAAGGATTGTAAATTTAGAATGAAATAACATAAACCGGTTCTAAACCAAAGCAGAAGGCACATACCTCCTCTAACCAAATCAGTTTTATAGTGTGGAAATTTAAACTTGTGTACTCTACATACAGAGAAGCCTTCAGGAAACCTTTGCTCATCCCCATCTGAGGCTGCCGCAGACCCTTTTGCTACTTAAGATGCAGTTACTGATGTTATGATGAAATAATCAAATACCAACATGCACAGATAACTTCTTTTTCCACTTCATTTCTATAATAACTACTCTAAACAGAACTTAAATGCAGAGACAGTGGTTAAATTTCACACCTGCAGGACAGATAACAAGTAAAATCACCAGGATGCCATAAATCACAGAAGATCTTGCAACAAACTTCAGAGCTGGAGCCTCCACCCTCACAGCAAAGCCCGAGGCCGCTCAGCAGCTCCAGAGTCACAGCTTTTACTCCTGCTGCTGGAAAGGAGGGTGCAGGACTGCATGTTCCCCTCTGCTTTCAAACCTTGTGATGAACCAACAGCTTCGTGATGGGTTAATTAAATCCCAAGGCCTGTGTTTGTGTTACGACACAGAAACAAAAATAGGGTAATGCTTTGCACCACTTCATCTGGGAACAGAACTGACCTGAGGATGCAGTCGTGGGAGTTTCCTCTGTCGCTGCATCCTGCACAGCAGGGATGCAAACCCCTGAGCCAGACCATGCAGGAGGCATGGGCTAGGTCCCCAGATAACCCCAGAGCTTTAAAATCTGCGATATGTGGGTTGGGCGCTGAGGCCTCTTCAAAATCAAAAGCCACTATGGTGTTCTTAATTAAAGGTCGATAAAACAGCACCCAACAACAGCATTAGCATTACAATGGTCTTGTAGGAGATTACAGTGCAGCGGTACTTTTAAATTTGCAGCAAGTTTATTGTTTTATTAGTATTAGGTTTATTATAGAGCAGCACAAGTCACACCTTGCACGCTGCCTGCACAGAGTTGGGCTCAGTGGGGGCATCCCAGGGCTTAGAAAGAAAGAAACTGCACCCTGCGGACCCAACCTGGACTCCCCAAATGTTTTACACAGACACTGTACCTCCAAACAGCCCAGTGATGGGCAGCTAAACTGGGACAAAGTAGCAGCACAGCAGTTCAGCCCATCAGTAGTTTCCAGTGTATTCAGAGTAGATGGTATCCTAGGGGAAGAAAAGAAAAAGTCTGTGTTTATGGATGGATCTGGGAAGAGAAACACATGGCTCCCCATCGCCCTGGTCTCAGCTGGCAGCGGCTGTGGTGCAGGATTTTGGAGGGCTTGTGCCTCGCCTTGGGGTTTATTTAATGAGCAGCAAAACGATCAAAACAGGTTCTGAGTGCAGGTGAGCTCCTGGCTCCGATTACAAAACATCCACTGCAGGCAACAGCACTGACCTGGTGCTCTGTACGCCGGAGATAAGACCCGTACCCTACCCGAATGGTTTTGGTGTAGGTACAGTGCTTGTGGTGCCACAGCATCCCACGACGGCAGGCTGCCTTTCATCTGGAAGGGCTCCCCTGTCCCCCTTGGGATGGGATGGGATGGGAACCAGTGCCCTCATCACATCACCAATCGCTGCCGTAAATCTTCCTCAGGGTTAGAGATGCTCGGGCCGTGCTATGGCAGGAGATGAAAGCCCCAAGGAATGCTTTCATTCACAGTGCAGCATGCATAGGGTCTTACTTTCAAAGCAGAAGGTAGCTGGGAAATTATAGGAAAATAAAGAGATGGAAGGAGGAAAAAATTACATAGTTTTTCTTTTTTTTTTGACATAAATGTCTTTTTCTCCCCCAACGCAGAAGAAGCTCACCCGGGAGTGTGTTTTTCGCGAGCAGTTTGAAGAGAACTGGTACAACACGTACGCCTCCACCCTCTACAAGCACCCTGACTCAGAGAGGCATTACTACGTGGCTCTGAACAAGGACGGCTCCCCTCGCGAGGGGTACAGGACTAAGAGACACCAGAAATTCACCCATTTCTTACCCAGGCCTGTGGACCCTGCCAAAATCCCCGCCATGTACAGAGACCTCTTCCACTACAGGTGATGTTTCCTGCAGCTGCCCCGTCAGCGCACGCACGTGGTCTCCCGAGCTTCTTCCCCGAGCATGGCACTCATAGTCATTCCACCGTTCCTGTAAGCATAGACGACGTAGGAAAGCATTTCCATTGAGTTCAGACACTGCTGTTCCTCCTGGTTTCAGGCATATATCGAACCTGGGTTATTTATGGGGCGGGGGTAGGGGACGGGAGGGATCTGTACATTTCATTCATAAATACATAAACCTCTACATTTTCATTCACTTTCTTCACCCGGTTGCTACAAGAGAGGCCGAATATTCAATGTTATGGTTGCTTAAAGGAACAAGCAGGTGAGCAAACCTGATCACCAAGGGGGAAAATAAAATACTATAAAGAGAAGGAAAGAAAATAAAAGACCACAGAACTGCTGCAGATGCTGCTGCTGAGCTGGGGGTGGTGGTTACCTGCTACGAAAAAGCCTTTCGAGTGGTACCCTGCTTCAGCAGCCCGAAGTTTGCTACGTGGACGATGCTACATGGACTGGTCCTGATGCGTGGGGTTTTTCCTGCTGTTGGGGTGGGAGTGGGGCAAGGAGCATTATGCAGATGTAAGCATGGATACTGTGCATAAGGACAAAAACTATTTATAAAATGTATATGATATTTATTTTATATATTTATTTATTTCAAAATAATTTTATTTTTAATGAGAGATGCTATGACCGGATTTTCATGAGGAAGAATAAGGTCCTACTGAAACAGGAAAGGAAAAAAAAAAAAAGAATTTTAAGAGCTTACGGGCAATAAAATTGTCTTTATATTGTAGATTTCTTGCTAGCCCTTTTTTTGGCACTCATTAACAATTAACCCAGTATTTCCCCATCAATATTAAGACCACTTCTTAAAAGGCTTCATATGGTAGAGATAAATTACTGAAACTCTTGTAACAAGGGTGACATGAAGTCATACCTGGGTCAGACCTGGAGCATGCCCCTGCTGGAACGGCCACCTGGGTGTCTCAAGAACCATCATTTCCAAAACATGCAAATCCAGCGTTCTGGATACGTATCTCTCTCAGCGTTCTGATACGAACAAACCGGGTCCTCGGGCCACGCCACGCACCAGGCAGGAGTGGTTGGCAGCGATGGAGTAACCGCCCTGTCCAAAATCAAGCGGAGAAACATTTGGAGCAGCTGCTGAGCGTGTGGACGGGCACATCACCCCTGCAGTGGCACCACCGCACCTCACACCACTTACCTGGAGCATCGAGGAACGTCAGTGGAGAAAAAGTAGAAAGTAACAACAGCAATTTAAAAACTCGTCATTTTTAAGCAATTATGGCTCCTCTCCAGTTGGGATGGCCAGGCCAGGGGTGCTCCTGGTGGAGGCTTGGCTCCACAGCCAGCACAGGCCTGTGGTGATGCTCGTGCCTCACATCTGCTCTCACTGCCGGCCCGGGATGGGGCAAAACTGCAGGCAGGGGAAGCTTCCAGGAAGGATCCTGGTTTATTTTTTGTTCCCCCTAGAGAGCAAAGAAGGGTTTTGGCCATGGTAGAAGCAGGAGCTTGGTGTTGTACAGGCACTTTGCAGCACTTGGCATGAAATGGGGTTCTTCAGAGCATGCAAAAATATGTACAGATAGAGCTGTAGTGGCTTTGGGGTTTTCCTTATCATAACTGCAATTTTCAGCATTGTTTCGCAGCCTCCTCCTTGCAGAGCAGTCGAGGTAAAATCTCGTCTCCTTCAGCTTCAGTCTACGAATTCCCAGGACGATTTCCCTGCTCTGGGGATGATCCACACCAGCTTCTTCATGAGCTGCATCGCTAATGGAGCAGCAGCCCTGTGCCCAGCTCTGCTCCCGGCCATCTCTTGCCCTCTCTGCCACCTCCCACGTCCCCACCATGTCCCTTCGCTGTCCCAAGCACAGCAGGTCCGGATGATGAACTGTGGATCGCAATGAGGAGATTACAGGAGCTTTACCTCGAATGATCCAGACACAGAGGAATTTAACCCCGTGTTTGAAATAAAAGGCATTTATTTACCTCCTTCCTCTGAGTCACTGCCGAAGCATCCTCAGTCGCCCCATCGGGAGCTGATCGCTCCTGAAGAGCGTGATGAAGCGCACTTTTGACCTTCCCCTGCGCGAAGGGAAATCCCTCGAGCTTCGCTCTGCCCCCAGGATGATCCTGCCCCCCTCCAGCCAGGGCTTTCCATTGCCCTTGAAGATAAATCCAGTGTTTAAGATGCTGCTCGTTTTCTGCGGGACCTCAGTCAAGGTGCATCTGCTCAGGCGGCGATGGATGGGACGCAGGGGCTCCCTAGAGAAAAATACATTTGCGGTGCTTCAACCTGAGAGTTTCTTTCCTAAAGTAGCAAAAGGAAACATCAGCATATGTTTTGGATCTCAACTCACATCGTTTTTGTGCGCTTCAAGGTTACAACAGCCAGCTGAAAAAGCTCTCCCAAAGGGAAGGCAAAGGTTCCCCTGTGCCCTTCACTCCCCGGTGCTGTTTTACACACAGAAAGTCGTGGGTCTGAAAACATTGCAGGCAACAGGACAAAAGGTGCTGCTTTCAACCCTTCTCCTTCCACCCGAGAGGGGTTGTAAGGGAAACATTATCCCGGGAACAGCTGTGCACAGCAGGGGGGGAGGTCAGCAGCAAAGAGGTGGACAATTTCTTGAGTCTCTCTATGGAGAGGTGCAGAAATTAAGGGAAACCCTTTGCGTGAGGCCAAAATGGTGCCATGGTTGTGTGGCTTGGGGCTCCTTTCTCCCTGGGGGGAAGGAGCGGAGGCCCCAGAGCTGTACGTCCTCTGGAGAATGCGATGGAGAGCCCAAAACTGCAGCAGGAGCCCAGGAACTGAGCAACCAGGGAAGGTGCCCACCTGGTTAGGTGCTGCCCCACCAGCATCCCAGCTGCTGGACCATGGCTGAGGGGTTCCTGAGTGTCCCTGAAGGAGAAGGGCTGAAATTCTTGCTGATGGTGAGACAAAGAGACCCGCACCCCCTGGGACAGTGCTGGTGGCAGATGATGACCTCAGGTACCTCATCCAAAGGGCAATGTCCTCTCCTGCAGCCCAAAAGCCAGAGTCACCTCACCCTCGGGGGTTTGGCTGAAACACCAGCAGTTCCAGTGGGGGAGCGCTCTGCAGGGCAAAGTCTGGCTTCAGCTCAATCGAGAAAGCTTTACACTAACAAAGGAGCTGCAAGGAGATAAAGTATTGTTTATTAACCAGCAGATGTAATTAAGTTCTTTCTCTGCTCCTTTGAGAAAACAGCACCAACACCACTTGGATGAGAGACAACATAGCAGGGACCTGTGCTGGAAGTCATTCATGGGCAAACGTGCAGCGTGGGCATGGCGTGCTGTAGGCACCTGGGGCAGCAAAAAAACTTCATCGCTTTTCCCCAAAGAAAGAAACAGCTCCAGAGATGTTGAACTCTCTCAATGGAAGGTACCAAGGATGTTGTCTCATACCTGCACTGACTTGGTTTGAGTAAGAGATCAGCAAAGCCAACTCCATCGAGGAGTCTCGGGCTCTTCCCTGCCCATACCAGAAAGCACTCAGCACCACGCCGCCGTGACCAAGCATGGCACGGTACCACGCAGGATGCAGCATCGCCCGCGCTGCTGCTACCGGGCAACTGCAAGAATCCACGGAAACGAGAAACACTCTTTGTGCAACTGAATTATAAAAGTAGCCGTTGGCACCGCCTTAAGCTTTGATTAACGCCCCAGGTATTGATTATCATTTCACATTCAGCATCTCAAAGAGTTTTAATGCCATTAAACACAAAGCCAAGGTGGCCTTTGAGATCAGACCTCGGAAGTGGCTGAGGAGGTGATCTCACCTGCCCCTGTGCTCCCCTTTCCCTCTGAGCCCCCTGCCCTTCTCCAGGGCAGCATCCCCATTTCAGGCCTTGACCCTCCCCAAACACCCTCTTTTGGTCACCACCTCCCCCTGAGCCACCTCCTCAGCGGGCACAGCAGGCGCAGGAGCTGCAAGCAGGTGAAAAATGGGTTGTGTGTCTGCAGGAGCATGAACCTCTCATCCTGCATGCACGGGCCATACTGGGAGCTTCTCCAGCCCAGGAGCTGCTCCAGCCCATAGTCGCTTGTGCACACCTCAGACACCCAAACCACCTCCAAGAGCACAGCTCGCTCTCAGGGTTTATCCTACAGCACAGGGGGTGCACATGAGGTTACTGCAACACCCAGGCAGGTTTGGGACGTTCAGGCTCTGCTTGCTTATATGGCTGATGCTGCACCACCAGCATTTTTCCAAACATCTCAAGCTAGGAATGCTTAGGACATTTGTCTTTCCATAAATGTGGAGAATTTATCCAACTCCAAAACCTTTTTTTTTTTGCTTAAACTGATGAATCTACTTTGATTTACCTTGCTCAGAGTGGCTCTGCTGTTAAGATAAAGACAAAAAAGCCCCTCAGGGCAAGCATTTAGCACCTGACACTTAAGAAGTCGCAGCTCAGCATCAGAGCACCTTGCAGGTCTGTTTTGTACCGAGGACTCGTCCCAGGACACTCCCCAGCCACCATCAGCCCCTGCCACACACACAGGCCCCCGCTGCTCTGTGACAGGTTTCCATCCAGTTACACGGACATTTAAAATCCCATTGCCCGCACAATTTGATTACTTTCACACCAGACACAATTTACATGGCATCTGCCCTTTCTCAGCCACCGGCCAGGAGCCACAAAAAAGCTTCAAGTACAGGGACTGAGTGTAGGGGCACATTTAAAACACAAATGTCATGTGGTTTTTTTATGCAGGAAATGTTTTTTTGCCCAACAGGTGGGATTCAACGACTGAGAACGAGAGAAGTACAATTATGAGGTTAAAATCTGCAAGTAAATTATTCTAATCTGACCCAGCAGACCTTCTTCACCTCTCTCTTAACTTACCAGGCGATAGCTCACTCTCCATTTTTAACAGACACATTGGCTGCAGAACCTGCTATTAATCCATGTAATTTGAAAACCTGGACCGCAATTATTTTCCCTAAACGAAGTTAATGGCTATTAATGGCCACATCCAGTAACGGGTACCTCGCTGGAGGAAAAACAAGAGCTCAAAGTCACAGCGCAGCGCAGTTCTCAAAAGCCACGTTCTCAGCCTGCGGAGGCACCGCTGTTTCGCGAATGCAGCACAAGGCACGTTGATGTATTTTGGTCACTTTATTAAATGAGATATTAAATAGTTTAAGTTTCAACTACTAAACAGCACTTTGAATGGTGAAAACACAGATAGTATATCATCATACTTGAATGCTTCTTCTCTTTAAAAACACATTTTCAGTCCTTATATATATTACAAAACAGCCTTATAGGAAGAGTTGACACTTTTTCTATAGCACTTGAGATATTTAATACAGAACTGAAAAGCCATCTAATAGAAACAAAGGCAAGTCTTCACAGCTGTATGATTTCAGCAGCCAAAGCTGGTTGATGGACTGAAACATTACTATACAACTGGGACAAAACATATACAATATCACAATACTAAGCAAAAACGCTTTACATCCAAAGGAATAAACAGGTTACAAAATGTGGAGAATTTAGCAGGCAAAACTGTATTACAAGCAACATTTTTATTCGTCATCTTAAGCCATTTCATCTAGTTAAAACATCTAAAACAAATATAAAAATGAACCTTTTATTATCTTATTGATGTATGTTCTGTCTTTAAATATTTGTTAAAGCTTGATGTTATACTCAAAGCACGTTGTTATGCAGCTAAAATGTCGAGTGAGAAACATTTACGCAAAGTGGTCCAAGTTTTACTTCAGTGCTTATCTCTGATTTCTTCTTATGCATTTGCCTCCATGGTTTTGTCCAGAATGAAAAAAAATGTGCCTTTAAATGTTGCCTAAAACTTCCACATTTAAGTCTTTTGAGTTACTGTAAAACTCCATTGAACATTCCCAGGTTTGGTAGAAAGTATTTCTCTTACTCACAACACGTAGGAATATCGGCGAGAGTCGTCCAGAGTACATTTGTCTCAAATGTTTGTCTCAAAGTCTCACATTTTGTTTCTTCGAGTGTGAATTTGTCTCTTTTTGCTCCCCTACCACCAAATTAAAAGTAACTGCAGAGCTGGCAAAGCACTAGAACATACTGAGGTTCTCCTGTGGTATCTTCTGAAAAGAAAAAGTCCACGACAGCAACTTGTTAGCTGGTTTCGCAACAGACCAAGCAAACTCTGTTCAGCTCCCAACCCAAGCGTCAATCGCAAAATGAAACATCGTGTAAGATTTGCGTACTGAGATGCAAAAACCACTTGTCCGTTCAGGGCAAGAACTCAAACTCCTGCAAGAAACTTTCCAGAAACCAAAACCATTTCAGTCCATGTCAGCAAGGCAGAGGAGTCCAACAACATCTGGAGCCAACGCCTCCATCCGCGTGTTCCTCCAGAGCTCTCTGTAGTCAATGCACCACCGCCTCAAACCTTCCTGTCCCTTACTTCTACCCCAGGTTATACACTTTTTTTGGGAGGAGGAAGAATCAACCAAACTATATTCAAAGAAAAGCCCTATTTGTATTTAATTAGATCTTCACAAGCACAAAAGTGTGGGTAAAGAGACTGCTAATGACGTATAATAAACCAGAAATGTATCTCTGGTCTACACTCCAAAAGAAAAACAAAACCCAAACCCAAAAAGCCCCAAATGAATGAAACCAAGCTCTTTGTGCACTAAGTAATTTTTTCAAACAAAAAGGGAATGGGGAGGAGTGCATAACCAAAACTCTTCGCTAACAGAGGAAAGGTTATTTCACTGCTAAGTTGCTACAGCACTTTCTCTGTATCGATTTTCAGTCAGCAACGGTTCTGCCATTTTAGAGTTGTTTATCTAGCAAGGTTTGACCTTGGCCACCATCACTATTTTAACTCCCCAAATACCAGGAATTGAATTTTCTTGGCCCGTCTCCCATTGCCGGCAATGGGAAAAGACAGTAGCACCAGCATTAAGGAGTTAACAGAAATGTGCTTTGTACTGGACTCTGCGTAGCGTGAATTCGCGCGTGAAGGAAAAACACCTCCAGCTCTAAGATCACCACTTGTTATTTCATCACATAAAAGTGAAAAGAAAACATGGCAGAAGACCAGGGAAGGACCATTGCCTTCTCCAAGCCACTATTTAAGGCTGAATACACAGTTTCTATGTAACTGCATGACTCAAAAGTTTCAGAGCAGTAGTACTTAAGGATATTGCATTCAATTCTGTTTCAAAGAGTATTTTCAGTTCCTGTTTCATTCAGCATCGATGATATAGCACGAGTCCAGACCTCGGTCAGAAGGAAACTAGACTAGTTCTGTTATAATATTCCCACTAATATCAAGAAATGGGTAAGCAGAAAAGTATTCCATAATTTGAGGAATCAACTCTAATCAAGAACTCATCTGTTTACAATTCACATGGTTACCGAAACACACAGCCTCGGAGTCCTTCCTAAGCTTCTCACGTCCTGTGACGGCTTCGCAGCTACTAAAAGCAAGCATAGGAGTTTAGACAGGAAACCTGTGGAGATGCTACTGTTACGGGAGGACTTGTTTTCACTGAAAACAACTTGTTATCTCCTGTACTCAACATATGTAAGAAGATTCTAGGCAACATCACTGACAACAGGGAAAACATCATGTCCTATTTAAACAAAGCTGAAACACTAAATATGGAACATGGCATTTAAGGGGACCAACCAAACTTTTTTCTTTTTTCTTTTTTTACAGTTGAGTTCTGTTAAGCCATTGATTCCTAAAAAAATAAAAAGTTCTTTCTCTGATTTTAACAATCCTTTAGGCTTTTAGTGCAAAATCACATTGATTTCCCTTGGGAAGGCCCTGGATTTTTGCCTCTCATTGGGGGTGGTGCTCGTTGTAATGGTGGCGGCTGCATACCACCGGACACTGACTGATACATTCCTCTCATATCTATCTGTTGGTAGTTGGAAGGATTCATGATTAAATTTGGAGGCTTTGGCATCATGAGATGACTCATTGCTGCTTGCTGGTACGACATCTGCTGCTGCTGCTGCTGCTGATTGTACTGCTGCTGGAGCCTTCTGTTCATCAGGATCCTCTGGACACAACCGATCAACTGTGAAGGGAAAGCAGAGCTGTCAGAGCTGCCCGGCCCTCAAGTATCAAGTTCAGAGGGAAAATCAATTTGTTAGGGATTGCATGGCTGAGGGAAAAAAGCCCCATTGTTATCACCATCACTAATGTGACGGTATTCACCGGCGAAACCATTTAGTAACACCATTTAGGGCTAAGTTGTCCTAATGCCTTGCCTATTGTATTGCATACAGCATTTCGGTTTGTTGCTAGGGCAACATGCACTATACTGTGAAATTATTCCCAGGTACAAGCTACGACGTTATTTGCCAGGTAGCATTTATCATCCCTTTGGAAGTCCTGCACGCGGACTGTCACTAAATGTTTGTTTGCCTAAGAGAAACCTCTTCCCATTGACACAATCTGGGCAACTTTCAGATTTGGCAAAATAATTCTAAGCTAAAAAACCCCCACTAACAATACTTTCTAAGATGTGTGTTTCCTAAGTTGCTTTCTGAGCTCCAGGAATCAGATTTCTCTTTAAGCCCCATGACCTTCCAGCAAACTACTTCAACAGAAAAATCTGGCGAGCAGTTATTTAAAAATGAACTTACGGAGTCTCCTCCAATGAGGCTCAGTATTGCAATCCGCCACGCTGCAGAAGTCACCATCACACCCACCGTTACACAGTGCCGTCAGAGTGCACGTTCTGCACGTACATACCGATGAACTTAAACATACACTGCTGTCTTATGAACACACCTGCGCAAAGCCCACACTCAACATCGCACTTCAAACACGGACAGTTGATCAAACTAATATGAGATGTTTTACCATCTGTTGCTTAGTAAGGACATCATTGTAGATGGCTTCTCGGCGCTTGACATCAAGCTCCTGGCTTGCCTGCCTGCTGAGTGCCAGGGCCTGGACTTGGCTCTCTGTGAGCGTTAAATTTTCTTTCCACTGAAAAGGAGAAAAAACAAAACCTTCTTGGCACCAGTCATTTTAACAAAAGAGCGATGGGAACTGAGGTCCTGCATTATGTTCAGAGTTGCATCAAGAGTTAAAACACAGCCCCGTTTCCAGTAAATGCAAAATTCTTCTTCACCAGAATCAAAACTATGAGTTATCAATTCTTCCAACTGCTAATTAAGGTAACACCCCTAGATTACTAAGAGGGAGTGAGAAATGTGGCAGCCTAAGATGGACAAAGACAAAATATAGGAAACACATCTTATTTGTGTATAATTATTCTTCTTATGTGTAGGAAATCAGCATTTTCCGGGCATGGCAAATAATTATGAACCTAAACTGCCAGTCCTCTAAGGCTTTATGTAATCTAGATACCGTTAAGGGTTATTGCAAGCTCCAGGGATAAAGGTGAATATAAACTGGAAATTATATTAATGAATTAATAATGCAATTAATCAGCTGAATGACCACATGCAATAGCAATTCCTTTGCCTCATAATGTCTTAACATCTTCCCATCTCCTGAACCAAACCTACAGTTCTCCAGTTCACTCACTATCGTTGAAATGATGTCTTCAAGGGGCTGAATTCTTGCTGCAGTTACACTGTTGGTTGCTTCCACAACTTTTTCTCTTCCTTGATTAATAAGGTCCTGAGAAAACACCAGAAAAATAATTACAAAGCACAGACACAAAGAACACATTTCTTTGCCAACCTTTTCCAAGCTTTCTTCCTCTTTGCCTTGCGTACCTAGACTTTAATTACTTACTTCTCTCAATGTGCACAAGTCAATGTGTCTCAGCTTCCACACAACTGAATTTCAGCATAGGGCAACTGAACAGCATGCATAAATCTGCTAATTTGCACAGTGGACAGTATTGATTAAAAACTATTTTTGTACCCAAAGGTTTTCAGATCAAGAGCGCTACAGTTCTACCCAGGGAAATTTTCTGCAAGAATGCAATTAATCCTCCAGAATCCTGAGGTACTACCCAGGTATAGTTTTACATGCATTCAGGTTAGACTTCAATACAGCCACATGCACAAAAAAAAAAACCTATTAAAAATAGGATACAATTACATAAAGAGATTTAAGAATGGCATGAACCATTATTTGTGACAGAAAAATACAGGCATGCTTACGGCAAGACAGACAGGTTACTGGTACGTGTTACACTACTGGGACTGGTACTTACCTCCAGCTGTTGATTACTCATTGCTGACAGAGCACCCAAATTGAAAGGGATATAAGGTGTTTGCGAGTTGAAATTTGTGGGAAGCATATTGGTCCCAGTTGGCATGTTGAAACGCATAGTCAAACCCTTAAAAACACAAAACGCACTTGAATCTGAATAACTCTGATACCTGATGGTCTTCTGTAAAAACCCATGAAACAGCATAGACGGGCAAATCAGTTCTCAAACAAAACTACAAGTGCTGTAAATCCTTTCCAAACCTCAATTTAAAAGGACACTTCAATCACAGAGGAGTCTAAGTTCTACTCTTCAGTAATATGAAAGTTTAGCTTCATTATAATTGTTTGGTATACTAAGAAAAAAAAATGTCCACAGCTTATTAGTGTACCTTTAGTTTATTAAGATGCACTTTTTAGTATTGCAAACCTACTACCTGATGTTGAGTTTGACCTGACTGTAATCAAATTTTGAAGTGAAATGTAATATTTATTAGCAGAAATATAAAGCTGATCTCTCATATGGGTTTCTCATAGGGCAATTCCAGTACTTACTGTCTTCTAACTTCCTATTTCTTCTCCCTCACAAAACCTTCTCTCATTTCTCCCTTTCATTTGACATTTGTTCACTCAAGATGGTCAGAGGCAATTTATACATCCTCTTTCTGTACTTTCAGGTTACTGATCGGATCTGAATACCAAACTTTGCCTTTCCAGGAATTTTCTGCTATTAGGCAGTTACACCAAGCTATCACATTCCTTTTACAGTAAAAAAAAAATCCAAATCTGTAGTCAATTTACAATTTTCTTTATTCTACCACCTACTTAAATATCAAATAAGCAAGACAGAGTAAATAACAGAGAAAAACTCCAAGCTTTTAGGTCTTTTCTGGCAGATGCTTATGACTGTGGGATTGTGGCAAGAAATTCTAAGATCAATTGTATATGTTTAATGGAGCTAGAAATTTCCCTCAAATGGTAAAGAGAAATATTACATAGGATACCAGTTGAGTTTTATTAGGAAACAGACAAAATGTGTGTCAAACAAACAAGTAACTTTTAAATGAAAGTAACAAAGAAAATACACACAAGAGACCAGCTTCGAAAGAGCACACAGGACATGGTATATCCATTTCTCATATGTCTACATTTGCTTTACATATCCATTGCTCAGCCTATAAGAAAACAACCTGAAAAGGTATGTGGTACCTAAAGCCAGGAAGGTTATTTTCGTGTAAGTTAACCTCATCAGACAGCTTTACCTTCTTCTCTGCTTCATATTCTGCCCACGCTGCCTTCCTTTCTTCTTCAGTGAGTTCCTCTTCCTCCTTATGGTCCAGGAGTGAGTCATGTTCATGATACCCAACGATGTACTCTTTATTGATTTGAAGCAACTCTGCCAGAATCGTATCCTGTTCAAATGAAAGATCAGAAAACGAGAAGTCACTCAGTAGCTCTACTATGTTTACTCTCTCTGCACGTGTAACTTACTCCTTTGACCCCATTTCACACAGAGCACTTCACAGTGAAATCAAATTTAAAAATCATTTAAAAGTATGATTTTCCTCTGAGGGTGGGTAATGGATTAACAATCCGTTGGAGAGAAGACAGTCCTATCGCTTAATGAACCACAGGAACGCACTCAGATTCCCCAACTGTAAATGCAGTTTAAGAACCTAAAAAGAGTAGAATGTGCTCAATGATTTCTCCTTTGCTTAGGCTGGATACCTGAGAGGATCCATCAATAATCTGCACTCGTAACAGATAAAAGAGCACCTCTACTGGATTTAAAACACTAAGTGGTACTTTCATCCATCAACTGTCCATCAGCATTCAACAGAAAAGGCTGCTTTCTTAAAACTGTGAAGATACACGTCAAGATAAAGAGTCCCCCACCCATCTGGACTAGGAAAGGTCAAATCACTGCCATGAACAGGATTTCATCAGCAGGTTGCGATTTAGACCTCTCTATTCCACAATACCCCTAATGCTTAATTTCTTTTAAGGATGACAGAAATATTTACAACGTCCTTTATAACGGCAAACTATTGTGAAGGTTTTGTTCAAATAACATTTTATATACATATATCTGTATTTGTGTGTGTGTGTATATATATATGAGATATATATATAAAAACTCCAAAGAAAATGTCAGCATTCAGTCTAAGATTTCTAATACCAAAAAATTACACATAAATCCTATTAGCAAAATGTTGAATATCTCCTAGATAAAATACACACAAACTAGCTCCTAACCAAAATACTAAGTTGCTACTGCCCTTGTCTGGACTACAGATGCCACATTATGATAGATCGTTATCTCAGTGAAAAAGTGATACAAAAACTGAGAAAATGAATGCCAAAAGCTGGTATTTCAAGGTAGGTAGTAATGGTTTTGCAGTTCTCGTTCTCACTAAATCAACATCCCAGTCCACAGTTTTTCCAAAGATGATGCCTCTTTTGTGTTAAAATAAAGGTGATGCTGCAAAGGATGAAGAGAAGAAAAATGCATTCTCTAAGACTATTAAAAACTGCAGGAGTCTCCTTTTGGAGATCATTATTGAACACAGGTTTTTTTTAAATGCACTTGTACCACTGATGAGCTTGCTGTATGAAGAAAGCTCCAATGTACCTCAGCGTTCAGTCTAAAATTCATAATACAAAACCTTCATCTCATTTAACTATTCATCTCATTCTGAAATGAATTACAGTGAATAGGCTGAATATACTTTTTGCAGTAGAACTGTATGAATACCTACAGATTATATGAATTATATGAATACCACTCCACATCACGCCCTTATTCTGCTGGGGATTTGTACAAGTACAATATAAACTGTCCTACCCTGACATTTAATAATCCAGACAGAACGGTGATTGGGAACAATGGCTGTACCCACGAGCAAACAGATTTTTGCAGCACTGGGAACTGCATGTGGAAACACAAAGGTGTTTCTGTGTGTGTTTATAACTCAGTTACGCTAACCAATTATATAACCTTGACTTTGTTCATCCTTCTATGTGGTCTCACTAAAAATGTGCCAAGGGAGGTTCAGGTTAGAGATAAGGAGGAAGTTCTTTACTGAGAGGGTCGTCAGAAGCTGGAACAGGCTGCCCAGGGAGGTGGTGGAGTCACCATCCCTGGATGTATTTAAAGAGTGGGTAGACGAGGTACTTAGGGATATGGTTTAGGGGGTAGACAGGAGCGGTTGGACGTGATGATCTTGGAGGGCTTTTCCAACCGAGCGATTCTGTGATTCTGTGATCATCAGCTCCTCAACAAAATATTCAGTGTAGTATCTGCATAAGTAGTAGGCAAATAATGGTATTTTTGGGGTGGTGGGAGAGAAGGCAGAGACAAAAGGGATGTGGTAATGGGATATGATGAAAATATCTAGAGGAAGTGGGTGAAGAAGTCAAAAAGATATTACAAAAATAAGCTCTGAGCACACCGTAGCTGCACATCAGTGTGGAGGGTTTCCTGGACATTCATATGCATTAACTTCCATGGTAACACTATTATTGAAAACAATACTGGAATATAATCCACACTCGCTCAGCCAACACAGCCTTCAAAATGTGGTTTAAATTACATCCAACTGTGTGTTTGCTTTTCTTTGTCTAAATTTTATTTTGCATTAACTTTCTTAATGATGGAGCTTGAAAAGTGGGATACGAAAGGTACTGCCATTTAGTTCAATTTTACAGGGAAAAAAATAACACATTCACCTTATACACAAAAACTCAGAATAAGTATTCATTGTCATTTGTTTAGCTTGTTGATAGAACAATGATTATCAATTACTTTATAAGCTTTAAGATGCAATCCTGATGATGAATGAAAAAAATTAAGATATACTGAAAAAATGTTTTGAATTTCAAAAAAAGGTCTGTCTTTTTAAAATCCTGATGGAAATTAAATGCAATGGAGAGATAAACATATTAGGAAGAAAAGCTTCCATGAAGGAACGCAAGTTACATTGTAATAAGCAAGTTTTTATCAACCAATTGAACATCTAATACTGTTAAAAATTACAATAAATTTCAATAAGGAACAAATTCTTCTGATTCCGAGATCAACAGGCTTTCAAAATTCACACATTTGTCCCCTAGCATGGAACTACAGGAAAACACACGCCCTGGCTATGTCTCGAGGCAGTATAAAATAATGATATGCTACATCCAACTGCATCCGAACTATTATTTTAATCTGCTTTTCCAATCTGCGTTACATGGCCTCAACTGAGCCAAGTTTTCATTTCACATAAAAACGTGACTGCAACCCCAATCCACTGAACACGCGGATCCAGGGAAGAATAAGTGAGGAGCAGAGGGGGCAATGGTGCCTGCTGAGGAAATCCTCCTCTATACCACTCTGGAATACGTATCACACTTATCTCCGGGTCCAGCTATCGGTATTCTGGGTGAAAACACATTTTCCCATGAGCTATGTATCAATCTATCCCAGCGTACAATCCTTCGGGAGCTGAATGTTAAGAGTCTGTGAGAACCTACTGTAAAAAAGCCCAAAACAACAGCTCAGCCATAAACCGCGCTGATTTAAAAAAAGACTCGAGATCCACTGTTAAATTCAAAACAAAGCAGTATGTAACACCCGAAATAGTCATAATACATTAAGCAGAAATCTCTCACTTTACACCATCTTCTCCTTTTAAATTGCTACTCTACAGCAATAACAAATCCACTTGTGCCTTTAGTCTGTTAGATGAGTCACTACATTTGCATAAGGCTCATGTCTTGTATACAGTAATTACTTCTACACTGAAATACAGCAAATTTGACAGAGTGATTACTCACTCTTAAGACACCCATTACACCTTTATTTGGGCTGAATTTCTAACACAGTCCTTTTCAATTCTGCAGGGATAGCAGCAGAATAAAATCAAGAGTAGAAGTCAAGACTAATTCAATAATTCACGTGGACAACATTCACAGTGAAAGTATTCTGTTAAAACCAAGTATTTACATTGTTCGAGATGTAGAAGGTGTTTCAGGGGGGTAAGGGCACAGAAATGGGACTACGAAATTATGGTTGTAGCGCAACGTGCATTTTACCCTGAGAACCACACGCACTGGCTCCTCGGCAACCTGAAGGTCTTGCTCAGACCGCAAAGGGAAGAAAACTGCTCCTAAAATTAAAACTCAACATGAAACTCTTGATAAGCTTCCAAAAAACCTGCATACTGCACATTTGCCGTGTGACTTTTTATAAACAACAGCCACAGTCAAACATCCTTCTGCCTTTAACACCACTTTCGAAGAAAACTGGTCTTTGCAGCTTGGATTATTGCAAAACCAAAATTCTGAGGATATATTTTAAAATTCAAGTAGAATTTGCTTCTTCACTCACGTAACTGCTTTACTTCTGACTTTACAACAACATTGAATGAACTCTACTAGCCCATTGAAAGCAAAAGGATTAAAAACCATTATGAAGAAGCTGAAAATTGTGTCAAAACTAGGAGTCAGAACCCTAATGCTCAGCCCTGAATCACTCAACATACACGACGATACCTAAACGCCTTCCTCCAGTGGGGTGTCACTGAAGTCACGAAGCTCTCTGACGCAGCAGAAGTCTAGCAGAAACCTAGCGTCCCTCCAGGTTTCACATTCATGCTTATTGACAGTTGGAGAAAAGATGGAAAACATTTCACCTAATTCCTATTCAGAATTCCCTCTAAAAAGCACGCTTGGAAGGGGTCAATTCAAAAAATGTGTATTTTCAAACATCTTTGTACCCATACACTGAGGATTTTGCTCTTTCAGAGTGCAGCTCTATCTCCACTTGACACTTCTAATGTATTTATGTGTTTTCACTGTGCATTTCACACCAATGCTAAGGATTACCAAGGCAATCCCTCACCTTCCAGCCCGCACAACAGTGAAATTACACAGTGCTAACATTGTTCAAGGAACTGCGCTTTGAAGATGTAAGAGAGGCCTGAAGACAAAAAGAGACAATTATACCCCAAACTTGGAAAAGGCAGAACTAAAGCTTTCTTTTCACCTAAATGCCCATTTTGCTTTGCTGGTAATTATAAGGAACAGCTCAGTCTTTGTAAGCACAGGGTAGAGGAGCACAGGTGAAGTTTTAGCGGGTTTTGTTTCTGCAGAGACCAGGTTGGGTGTGCTGAAGTCACCAGGAACAAAGCATCGGGACAGCCTGCAACATGATCTTAAAATTGTAATTTTCAAATGCTGTGTAATTAATGTTACAATCGAATGTTTTCATCAGCGTATCAACTGTCTTCTTAATCAACTGTAAAAAAGTGCTACGAGTGTGTTGTGAAATTCATTTACTGTTAAGAAGTTTTAAAAAGGCAAATCATGCCTCTCTGATAAAATTGTATAGTTAACTTTCTGAATGAATAACCTTGCATAATTTAGAGAAGAACATCCACTGTGGTGTGTCCTCCTTGCTACTTTATGGAAAATTTTAGAGAATTGTATAGACCAAAAAATAGGAAACAAAACACAAAAGTTAAACTTATGATATCATAAATGAGACAAGAGCCAGAATTCACTTAAATAGGTCATGGGGACCAAGGGAGGAGTCACTGCAACTACGGGACTAGCTCAGTTTTGTGTGCAAAGCAAGAACCTAATGGTGGAATGAAAATAAACCAGCCTCATCAGCTGAGCTTCACCAGGAAGATAAATGCAGCCAAAAATATTTTTCTTAAAAAGGGGAATCATCAAAATAGTAAACATGAGGACCAAATGAAATGGATTTTCTTTGTTTTCTACCTTGGCGCTAAGCGCTATTCATCAAGGCAAGGCAGGTCAATGCCAGATGTTGGTTTTTTAAAAACAAGCAGCAGCAGCAGCAGCCAATGGTGATGCATTAGCTATGAGTTTGTGGAAGCACAAATGTATATGGCATAAAATAACTAAGAAAGTAAAAAAGGATGAAATAAGTACTATTAATTACAACCTAAAGGAAGATGTTTCAGGAGGTGAAAAAAATTTGCCAAAATAAATATGTACAACGTCGTAAAAAAGTAGAATAAAATTTACCATCCTCTGCAATTTACTGCTTACAGTGAGAAACACTGTAATAAAAGGAGCTTAGATACAGCTATTAAAGTTTGTTTTCAAGGGTTTTAAAATGCATCTATAACAGTGACTAACACTTACAGGGCTAACACTTCCTAAATCCCCCTGGCAGCTGCACCAACACCGTAGGTGGTCTAACAGACATTTCAGAGAATGGCCAAACTACTGAGAATAAAAAAAACGCCTTACCACAATGTATTATAATACAGTGATCTACAGATAGTCTGGAATAGAGAACATACCATTTGCCTTGGAAATTAATAGGTTTACAAACTGGAAAACCACCCTCCCCACACCCTGACACTGTGTAATGACCTAAACACAGCAGTAACTCCAAAATTTAACCAGTTAACTAACTACAGGTCACATATTTACTGTTTACTAGCTATTCACCTGGTAAGGAGCAAAGATAATTGCACAACAGCTTAATAATTAATTAGTCTTTAGCAGTCCACGTACAAGGAATACAAATCACACTAAGTACGAACCCATAGCCTAATCTTAAATACAAACTGACTTGGAAAAAAAGAATGACATAAGCGTATCAACTGTTCTTTCCCCTGAAGTTCACTCCTGTCTGACTGTAAAAGCTATAGTTCTTATTTTTAAATTCAGTTAGCCAATTTTTCAGTTCTCTAAGTATCCCACAGGATAGTGAACCACTACTATGTAGAGCAGAAGAGTGACAATGGACCACAACTACACACGCCACACCCACTACAAACAGATTTAGGCAGGCCTCAGTGAAAACAAACCACTGTGATCTTAAAATTCATTTAGCACCAAGTTGATAAAAGGTCCGACATCACTACTTCATGTTATATCAGAGTACAGAGTATCAGTATTCTCAGTAAGTTCTGTAAACAGTTGTATAAAAAAACGTCACTGGTCTCTGCTAGTACTAACAACACTAAAATTACGTTACAAAAATCTTAGCTTGTTCAATTTTCCTCACTTACACAGTAAACCAGCACATCTTTTCTCCTATTTCTACCATATCTCTATTAATGGTCCCTCCAAGAAGAGTTGAGCCAGGAACTAAAAACCAAAAAGGTTCGGCAAAGAGCACGGATTAATTTGACTCTCACGAAGTCTTACCTAGCTGGCTAAAAACCAGACCTTGAAGTACAGTATCATCTCACAGACTATTACCACTAATTGAGGCAAGGCCAGATATCTCCAGCACACACTTCGGTGTTCATTTTTATCTGGGCTTCCACAGTTTCCTTCAGTAAAACTTCTATTCACTCAAATTGTGTGAAAAAGTATTTATGTTTGTTCCAATTTAAAATGTTTGTCTTTTAACTGAAGATCATTTTCTTACACTGTTCATTATGTTGAAGGGAAACTCATTATCTAAGTCATTACACTATCTGGTATATCAATTACATATTTCACCTGCTATTCAGCTCCATTCCAAGTGAAAAACACTGGTGTGAAGTAAAAACACAGCACTCTTCTTCCAAGATCAACTACCTCATGTCCTTAAACAGACGCAGGTTATTTTTATGGCACATAATTCCTAGTGATGTGCATCAACTTACTTTTGGCAGCATTGGCGTATCTCTCTTCTTTTTCTTTTCTGAATTAGGATCATCCAGCAAATCTGGCTCAAACGTGTACAGCTCTGTCAGTTCATTCATGGTAAAATGACGTTCAACTTGCTGCTGGTCGACAACCCGAAAAGACAAGGACTGCTTTGTTACCTGTCGGTCATAGATCTTATCTTCCATCGTCCCCTGAAAAAAGACGACACTCGCTTTCATACAAATACTGAACCTTCTTGGCATATAGGAAACAAAAAAATTACAGAAGAGATAGGACAACAACGTAATAGTGCTCTGCTCTCCTCGTTTCTTTGACCCTGTATCTACAAAGTTACCTGAAAACACTCTGCCGAGAAAATAACCCCTAAACTGGAAGCAAACACAAAGCAGTATGAATAGTGCACATGACCGGTGTCATCCAGCTATGACTGGAGTATGAAATGTATTTTTTCAGTAGTGTTTTGAAGAGATCTGGTTTTGCTTCAATTCCCCAAAGCAGGATTCTGACCAAAAAAATGGTAATTTCCACAGCATGTACCTTATTTTGCTGCTTTGAGCAGCCTGCAAAAAGGAAAACAGATACCAAACCACTGGGGTGGAGAGGAGAGGGGAAGCAGTCAAGTCTAATTCATTACAGCTGTGTATGAAAAAAAATTAGATCCTTCATGAAAAAGGAAAATTACTTTTTTTTTAAAAAAGATGATGAGTATGAGAAGTATGAGAACAGCACAGCCTGTTCTGAACATTGTAATTTAAAAAGGATATCAACAGTTCAAAAGTGCACCTAGAAAACTACAAAAATAGACTGAAGCCTGAAGAAAAAGCCTATGTCTGACAGTAATGTGTTACAAAAAATTATCTATTTAAGTTGGCAAGTAAATAGTGACTTGACCAAGAGTTAAGTGCTGTTACTGGGAAGAGGTCTTCAGTTTCTAACACCTGAAGAACTACAAGATGAAGCAAGACACTTCCTAAAAGAAATAATTACATTATGCTTAAAAAAAGCATAGATCACTGACCATCAGAATGATGACACATCTTTAGTATCTGCAGGGTATCAGATTAGAGCTGGAAGATGACTGCATCAGTGTGGACCACTACAGACTCCAACACAAGTCCAAATAGTTTAAAAATTTGATTGCATGACCAGAGCATCACAAAAATATCAGACAGAAACCCACCTGAGCCAAAAACCTGTACACAAACACAGGTTTGCTCTGCCCAAAGCGGTAAACCCTGAAAATACTCTGGATGTCATACGACGGGTTCCAAGAAGCATCGAAGATGATGACTCTATTCGCAGCCACGAGATTAATTCCGAGGGAACCTGCTTTAGTGGATATAATAAACAAGCGGCCTCTGGAACAGAGAAAAGTTGCAAAAGTTTAGTATTTTGGAAAGTAACTATTGTTCCCATGTTGCTGTGTTATTAGGGAGTTGCTCATACCCTGAAATTAACTCAAAAACTTCATTAAAGTACTGTATTAAGCATAAAGCAGATGCAGGTTTTACAAGGACAACACTCTTAGCAAGACATACACTCCCAGAACCACAGATCAGGGCCTTCTGCAAACCAACTTTTAGCAAAAACTGGTGGGTAAAAAAAAATATTGTGTTTGAGTTTTCAAACTCTAATAAAATTAGTTACATCAAATTAAACCATAATTTTAAACAGGCATATCCCGTGCTACTGAAATTGTTTCCTGGCTAGAGGACTTTCAGGATAACTCTAGAACAACACTGCCTCTTTGATGTATCTGCCTTTTTGAGTATCCTCTCACTCAGGTTCAACTTAAAATGAGCTCTTGACAAATACCTGACAGAATAAACTATTTAAGAGTATTAACATTGAATTAGTTTACTTTATTCCATTCAACCTTTCCCCCCTCCCCATACATTATAAATGACTGCTATATAATTTTACAAACTATATTTT